GTGTTTACACTCTTCTTTACAAGTATCCCAGACTGTCCTTATGAAGAAAATGCCTCGGAAAAACTTACTGTAAGGGTTAATATTTGCTGCTAATACCTCACACTACACACCACCCTTCCCTGTCTCTTTGCAAAATTAAAGGATTCAAGGCAAAAATATGATGATCGCAACCGCTGAATTTCGAATGTAACGCGGTTATGGGAAACAAAAAAATATTATTTCATGCTTTTTGTTGCAGGAACCAATTTTTGTTCCTGATCCAGTTATTTCGCTCGCTGTAGAGGCAAAGAACAAGGTGAAAACTTATTTATTATCGTAAATTGTATGTTACTGTATACCCTTCTGAAGTAACTGGCTAAGCACTGAGTTCTCTTTTTTAGCTTGCGAGTGGAACAAAATACGAGCGTTGCAGTAAACGCGTTTTGCCGCCCTCGGTGTCTGGCACTAATGATCAGTGCTAGACCGCTTAAAAACCTCTCGCGGGCTCGCATCGCTCTAGACCTCATTCTTTCGTGCGGGTGAAGGAACCCCCGTGTTGAAGCGCTTTTAATGAAGGCCTGCTTTTGGGACAAGAAGTTAATTTATTATTATCATCTAAGTTGATAACTTAAATTCGCTACCGTAAAAGAGTTTCAAACCTGACGTTTCCAGCGTTAGCCCTTCGTCAGAGCGTGGGGCTAACGCTCAAAATGTCAGCTTTCAAACTCTCTACGTTGGCCAATTTACGTTATCAACTCAGTTGATAAGAGCAAATTACCTTGTTATACTCTCCCACCGATGCAGCACCGCAGTTTCTTGAGAAACGTACCCCCTTTTCTCTCAGGATAGGATCTTATTTTGGGTTATTTTGTTGCGCTCTTGGGCAAGACAATTTAATCTCAAAACACTCTCAGGAGTATAACTTGGTTTTAGAATCATGAAAAGCATGCAAGACATTCTTAAGTCTCTTCGTGCCACATAAGTCGTGAACATACCTGCCTTAAAAATCTCTAATGCTATTGAGGTAAACGATTTATCAACCATTTGATTCGACTTGTTTCTCTTTAGAATGATTTAGCTCAGTTCTCCAAAGCTCTTAGTCGATTCTCTCGTGAAGATCCAACATTCAGAGTGAGTTTCGACGATGAAAGCAAGGAGGTAAGTAAACTTTTGCGAAAAATAAATTTGTATTCAAAACTCTTGAAATTTCACCTCTCTCCCGTGTTCTTCTGTTAGCGAGGCTTGTTTTAACTATCGTAATTTAGTACAAGTGCTTCCTGTCAATGGGTTAGTCGCAGAACAATACTTTTCCCAATGAGGGTTAATCCTTTTAGTGATGTTTTGTTTTTTCTCATCTTTGTCAGACTATCATTTCTGGAATGGGAGAGCTTCATTTGGACATATACACCGAGGTGAGGGCGGCATTATGAACATGTGAAATATGGGCACGGTCTGAATAGTTAATTCTACGCCAGAGGTGTCATAACGCTTTCTGCGCGAGACTAATTAACAACTGTTTACCTCTGAGTCGGTGGCTAGGGATGGATTTTTATCAAGCCGTGACACTAGGGTAAATAGTTGTTTTAGCATGTACTAAAACAGTGAGATAGTATAGCACAAAAAGATGATTTAACTCGTTGTTTCCTGTGACGAGTATAATGTTTTAGAGCGCGAGCTTCTCAGAGGTGACTAGAAAGGATATCCGGAGTTTGAGTAACCAATCAGAGCGCGCCTTCAACGCTATCAACTGTTTTAGTATATACTAATACTTGCTCGCAGGATATGATTTTGAATTGTCCTCTCTGGCTGCAGCACAATTCGTTGTAGGATAGTTACTAGAATTTGATGTTAGATCAAGTTAAAAACTTCTGCTCGATAACTTTCAGTATTCTCATTACCTATTTGCTGGATAATGTATTGATATTTTTGGGAGAAGTTGCATGTTACTCACTGCTGGGAGGTTAATCAAACAGGCGTTTGTTAGTTTAACCCTTTAACTCCCAGATCAGATTTGTACTTCTCCTCACTGTCAACCATACAATTCTTATAACGTTTGTTCAGAGAATTTAGTATTGGATCAACTACTTATCCCCAAATTGATATTTTTCTTTATTCTCATCACTTATCTGGTTGATATTGAATTGATATTGTAAGGAGAAATTCTTTCTTGGTCACTCATGGGAGGTAAAGAGTTAACAGCAACGTGATTTGTTGCCCTCGTTTAAGTGCTTAAGCAGTACAAAGAAAAGGCAGTCGATGATAATTTTTGAGGGAGTAATTGAAGGCGACTCGAATTTCCCTATGATTTGACGATTAAAAACTATTCACCGAAGTAGAAGAGGCTACGGATGAATATTTATCGGACCGCGAAACGGTGAATTAAACATCCACTGCCAGCTACTGAGGCTGAGGTAAATAGTTATTTTAGTACATACTAAAGCAGTAAGATATACACCCCAAAGAGATGATTGACTCATTTATTCCTGCAACGTTTGGCGAGTTACTCGAAAGTGAATTGCAACGGATATTCAGAGTTTGAGCAACCGATCAGAACGTGCCTTCAACGCTATCTGCTGTTTTAGTATGTACTAAAGGGGTATAATCCCACACAATTTGATGCGTTAATGTCGACTTTATTATGTTTAACTTTCTAGGGTGACAATGTATAATTACCATGACAAAAGCATTTCCTCAACTTTAAAGCTAACACTTGATGTTACCTACATGTTACCTTAAGCTTAGAGTTACTATAAAGTTACTTCAAAGTTGCTATTGCGTATTATTATCATCTAAAGCAATACGCGATTTTCGTTTTTTTTTTTCACAGAGAATGCGAACAGAGTTTAACTGTCCTGTAATATCCGGTAAACCCAAGGTAGCCTTCAGAGAAACAATAAGCGGAAAGGCCACGTAAGTGATCAACATCTAATTTCTCTTAACTTTTTCATAACGATTTTCTGTAGAGGGTTTATGAGAATAGCAGGTAATTTAGTGTCAACAACCGAGTTGAAAGCGTAAATTGACCACCGTAAAGAGTAAAAGAGATGACATTTCGAGCGTTCGCCCTTCGTTAGAGCAATTGATTTATGAGAATGTTGACACTTAGCAGTTGAAGAGAGTTATCTCCATGTAACACTATATTCTCTCAACTAATTTGCTAGAAAACGTGAAGCAACAAGAATGGAGAATTTCTTATTAGATCGTAGTAAGAAAATGTCAAATGGTTGAATTTTAGGTTTGAATATCTTCATAAAAAGCAAACAGGAGGAGCTGGTCAATATGGCCGAGTCATCGGCAGAATCGAGGTATTTGACGGCAAATTCTACTCGATAACCTGGTAGAGCAGTTTCCAACTGGGTGTCAAAGGTGATTTGGAATTGCAGTAGTTTTGCTTTTGAACGCTCTATGATTGGTCAAAAAAAACTTGCATCACTCTCTTAACCAATCAGGTGAAAGAGTATATTTAATCATGACTTGGCGGCGGTTTGCTAGTTGACTATCAGCTCTCTGTGATCTGTTACTTTGTTGTGATAGGCCTGCAGTGATTAGGTTGTTTAAGGTTTGTGACACTCAGTTGAGAAGCATTCTTTCAGTGTCCGTTTTTTTACATACTTGTTTTTTGCATGTCTGTGTGCTCTTGTGTTTTTGTATCAGTTGAGATGGACTCTTACAGTGTCCGGTTTTTATATGGTTTTTTTTTTGTTTGCTTAGTTTTGCAGTTTAGAAGCACTCTTACAGTCTTATACTTGTTTTTGCGTTTGCTTTTAGCTTTTGTCTTTTTTTATCTAGATAATTTTATGTTATTCAGAGTTCCTGAGTGAAGTTTCGGCGCCATTCGTGAACCAACGTCTGTCTTGCGTTCACTTTTTGCTTCTTTTCTTTTGTCGTTGTTTTCCTTTCGTTTGCTTGGGTTGCTTTTCTTTTCTCTCTTCCATCTGCCTTTCACTTTTCCTCTTCCTTCCAGCTGTCGCGCCCTTATCCCTGAAATAAAACAATGACAAGAGCAGTGAAACTAAAACGTTGAAGATCCCCCTAGAGAGACCCATTAGACGTATTGTAACCGGAGGGGGAGGGGGAAGCATCGAATTCCTAATTTCTCCACATGAAAAATCTCGTCGTCGTTATGAGGAACCTCATAGAAGGTCTAATTGCTATGGGAACTTGCCTTCCCCGTTCCACAAGGGTGGGTTGCGTAGAAAAAGGGCTGTTCCCCTCCCTCTATAGGTATGAAGAACCTAACCAGGGGAAACACTACCCCCTTCTTAATCTTTAGATATTCCTCCAATTCATGAGTGAGAGACATGTTGATTTCTTGTTCGTTGTTTACAGCCTATGCCACAAGAATCCCTCACAGAGCTCGAATTTGTCGATGAAACTGTGGGCATGAACATCCCCAAGAATTTCATTCCCTCTATAGAAAAGGTAACTGTTACTTGAAACTGTGCTTTTCAATGGGATGCGATTTATGAATAAATTAATTCTTTTCACGCGTACATCGATAGGTCAAAATTGCTAAAACATGTTTTTTGGTAAATTTTTTGCTTCTCAGGGTTTCCTAGAAATTTGCGAGCGTGGCCTTCTCACAGGGCATAAGCTGGCTGGAATTCGTTTTGTCCTTGAAGATGGTAAGTTTCCAAATAAACGACAATCATCGCTCCCGTGGACGGAAAGCTGACACAATTCATTACATTTTTCTTATCCACTACGGGTTTTTTTTGTTTTTTTGTTTTTTTTGTTTTTTTAATTTCAAAGACTACCAGATCTTATTGATTAGGTCCCGTTCGCCAATCCTCCTCAGCAATGGGTTTCCTTGGTTTTTTGTTCCTTGTGCCCAAGAAAGCTATGTTGTAGTTTAGCAAGGTTATGTTTGTTCCTCAGCGTAACGGGCGAAAAGTGATTGCGTGACTATGATCGGGTTTGTATGCAAATTCGTGCGATATCCCGCAGCTGTTCGTTCACGAAGGTTTTTACAAAAATATCAAAAGTTTAAGCGTCGATGTTCTAGCTACAGACCATTAAGATGAACTATTTTGTATTTCGGGAAACGATCACTTAGATTATTCTTCGTCTTAAATAGTTTCGGTTTTGATGCCTCATTGAACATGTGATATAAGATTACGCAAAGTTATGTGCTGTTAAATCCACAGTTTAAATTTCACGCAATCCCAACTTTGTGCTGAATTTTATTGACATCAGTAAAAATGGAGACCTTTGGAGTCAAATTTAAATCAACCTTACATTTAATTTTTGTCGGGGCATGTATGTTTGAGCAAACAAAATGCCTGATAATTTCAAGTAAAATTGTGTTCGATAAGTGTTTACTTCTGACGGATGTTTGTTCGTCTTATCACGAACGTGGGAACAAGGAAAACGTCTGAGTCCCCACGAGGAATCAAACCCCCTATTTCGCGCTCCGATACTCTACCACTGAGCCACAGTGACTCTACGATGAGTTGGACAGTCCGACACGCGTCCTGCATATTGCAAAATCAACAACAGTAAACTTACTTGAAAGTGATAAGGTGATAGAACATCTCCACGTCTTCCTCGTCATCGTGGTCTCCGTGTCCGTGGTCTCCGTGTTCGTGGTCTCCGTGTCCGTGGTCCTCGTGTTCGTGATCTTCGGGGTCATACTCATCATCTTCCTCGTCGTATTTCCATATTCTCGTACCTATGTAACGCACGTCGCATTGATCTCCAACCAGTGACTTTAACATCTTTGCTGTCACAAAATTAGACCCGTGTTTACAGATCTCCACCATATGCCGGCCGTCTGGCTTAAGAAGCGACTGCATTAAGCTGGTGTACTCCTTCAGTCGTGTTTTACCCATCGCATTGATCACAGGCATGGCAGACTGATCCCAGATGGCATCGAACTTTCCTCCTGCTACCTCAAGAGAAAAATTGAAGATGTCACAATGGTAGAGTGTAATATTCTGGCCTTTCGCCGTGTACACGTCTGCTTTCTTTTCAGCCGTGATCTGCTTCTTCTGGACTGTATACTCCAGCTTAGAATCTTGGAAGAACGCTTTGATGTAGCGAGGAGAAGCTTCTACACCTGTAATCGCGTGACCTTGTTCTGCCAGCCAACGCATATCCGGCGTCTTGCCGCAAAGAGGCACAAAAATATGTAGATTACTGCGACCTCCTGTGAGTTCAGTGACATTTTTCATCAAAATAGGGTCCACCTTTTGTAAGTAGTCTGGTTCCTCGGGCTTCTTCGGTGCTTTCTGCTGATTCTTGCCTCCTTTCTTACCAGCTTTGGTCGCCATGCGGATTTGTGTCGCTCTCCTTTCCCGTCAATTTGCTTTCTTCTGTCCTCCTTGCTGGCCTTGCAAAGAATGATGGGAGATGAACGCGGGCGCACCTTTATTGCACCACACAAACTTCTTGACGTCATTTTCTTTTTGTGTGCCATGACATTAGTCGCTATTTGAATTAATAATTGGGTAAAACTGTAACAATATGCAAAGTGTGAATAATTTAAGCGATGAAAGTTTCTGGAAGCGTTATGCTCTCAGATTCCGCAGATCATCTCTCGAACTTTTTCGTCGAGGGAAAAATAGGAAGCTTTTAAGGTTTTTTAAACACGAAGATAGCTTAAACGGAGCGCAAATTTCCCTTAGTAATTTCAATGGTTTCTTTTTGATACAAAACATTATGAACGACTACGAAGCAAGATTACGTGACAATCCTCAGCCAGACTGTATATTTTTCGTGACAAGCTTAAATTTTCTGCGCCTCATTTGTCACACGGTATTATTGTTATCACCTGCCCACCATCATAAATATTGGAATATTATCTTTGTGCTTAGATTTGAACCGATGGCGTTAATAATAAATCTGCTTCTCTTGGCCTGAAAGCCTTGAGCAAGTAACTGCTTATTATCGGCTGTCGACGATGAAAACTTTAAAGGCATCTCTTATCTTTTTGCTCTTTACTGTGGTTTTAAAATTCCTGACCCAAGATTATTAGAGTATTACGAAGCCTTTTTGGGATCAGATAAATTTTTAGCGTGACATTCAAAATCCTCTTTCCTCTTTCCCCCCCTCCTCTCTTCCCCCCCTCTCCCCCCCCCCTTCCTAATGAGGTGATAACTAATGACCAGTCCGTAGGTTATGAATTAGCATCCAAATATTGAGTAGCTTGAAATATTAAACTTTGAATAAATACTTTAGGAGCGGCTCACGGAGTGGATTCCAGTGACCTCGCTTTCAGACTTGCAGCCATGGGAGCCATGAGAGAAGGTACGGGCACGTGACATCTCGGAACGTATCTTATTGTTACTTGAATCCCCATTTCCCGCGCTCAGTTATAGCTGGGAACGTTTCACCGCGTGAGACACATCCCATAGCGCTTTTCAGGCGGGTATCATAACTTTACACCCTCTATACAATGCTGCACTGTGATTTTCCCGCGCTTTTTTTCTGTCGTTAGCCTGTTTACCCACGCTTTCTTGGCGCACAGCATTCTTTCCCACGCTTTTTTTTTTTTTCGATTTTCTTTTGCAGTTGAGTTCATATTTTTCGGCGCTTTCTTTTCCAGCAAGCTCTTTACAATCTAACATCAGTAAGCAAATTCTCCATACTGTTCTATACACATTTCCTAAGGTGCTGACAAGGAGAATTAATTTAACAATCAAGAGCTTCTTTAGTCGGTGATCATTTCCTTGATTCTCATGACCTTAGTGTTTGATTCAGGGGTGATATTGTGAGGAGAAATTAGATGCTCATCACTCTGTGGGGTCAAAAGGTTAAAAAACAAACAAATAATTGGCTCCTAATGAAAGAAAAGAATATCTTCTCACTCCAGGAAGTGATTGGAATGCCAATTCTTCTGCGATTTTTATATAGCTGTGCAGAATAGAAATGGGTTAGTAACAGTAACGGACGAAGAAGCGTGAGATCATGTTGACCCTTGAACCCCTAAGAGTGATCAGCATCTAATTTCTTCTTACAATATCACTCTGAATATAACATTAAGGTCACGAGAATAAGGAAAATGATCACCAGCCAAAGAAGCTCTTGATTGTTAAACAAATTCTTCTTGACGACCCCTCAGGAAATGTATAGAGAACAGAATGGAGAAATGGTGAACCTTAGAACCTTAGACCTTAAGAGTAAATAACTTAAAGTTAGAAGGTAAGTCTACAAGAAAACCTACAGCACTTCTGATTGCATGATTGCCAATCTTTTTTGTTCATTTCGACAGCGTTTCCCAATGCCTCTCCTCTGATTCTGGAGCCAATCATGTCAGTGGAGGTGAATATCCCCCAGGAATTCCAGGTAAGGCGCTTTCTGCTACTTTCCCTCTCTCTTCTGATATATCTCCCTTGCTCCCTGCTCTTTAATTTCCTACCCTTGTGAAAAATTTTACGAAATTAGTCGTGTCGTTTAGTCATTTTAGCAAGTTAACACAAGAGACGCAGCGACAAAAGCATTGAAACCTATGGGCTTCGAACCGGCGATGCGTGCGCACGAGAATTCTGCTACTGGTCTGCGATGGTTTCTCCAGACCCCTCACAGATCCCTTGCACGTTCGCTATGCTCTCGGGCCTAAAAAAAACGCGGGCTGCCGTCCCTTTCATGCCACTGTGTACATGAGATCCTGCTCTCTATATTGGAAACCGTCCAAGTTCGTTCCAGTTTCAAATATACCTTTTTCCAGCCAACAAAATGCATACTTCATACAGTGTTGATTAAATCAAGGTGACAATTCATGAGCGGTAAATATGCGTCACAATCACGCCTCAACCTGTTAGAACCAATAGAAGTCTGTACTCGAGCTCAGTAACCAGAGCTTATCCCGGTGTCCAGCGCATGAAGCGACTTGGGAGTATCACTACCCCCTGAAAGGGATACCAGTCCATCGCGAGGTTACCAACCCCCTTCCCCGAACAAGCATTTCATCAGCTATCCCTAACAATTCGCCGGTATCCATTTATTCTCCTGGATGGAGAGAAGCACTGTAAGAGTTAAGTGTTTTGCACATGAACACAACACAATGGACCGGCCAGGTTATGAACCTGGACATCTCGACCCGAAGCATTAAGCCACTGTGTTTCCAAGTGGCACCAATTAAGGCAACTGGGTTTTTTTCTTCCTCTACAGGGAGTGGTGATTTCAGGCCTTAACCGTCGACACGGTGCAATCACTGGCACAGATGCGGCGGAAGGTTATGTTACAATTTATGCCGAGGTATTAAAACTTTTCACTTTATTCTTGACACATGCTGTCAATTGAAAGCCAGTCAGTTAAATACAAGACCGCGGTCAGACGTCGAGCATGCGCAAATGGATCGACTGTGGCCGCGCTCAATTTCCTGCGCAAATTTCAAAATTCTAATATCTGATGAACAACCACTCTTAAGCAAAATATGCGGAAAAAAAATTTTCGAAACAGCAACACAATTTGGAAAGAGTATAACTAGAGACGTTGCTATCACAAAACGTATCTAATTGAGGGTATCCTGTTGATTTACAATTTTGTGTGAAGCTTTATCAAAAAATTTATTCTCATTTTACAAACCATGAGTTACTGACCAGTGTGGTTGTTCATAACTTATGGGAGCAATATGGTCCTGACAGCGTGAAAGCATGCCTCCCAGTCTTTACAACATTCGCACATGCGCAGACATTTGACAGCTTTGTTATCAAGGATTGATTGAGTTAGACATGTATACCATTCCAGTGGCGTATCCAGACCTTGAGCTAAGGGGGGAGGAGGAGGGGCGGTTTTTTTGTCACTTTTTTTTTTTTTTTTTTAAACCCAAAATAAGGTCCCCCCAAGAATTTCCTTTAGATCCGTCACTGCATTCTTTTAGTAAGAAAATACCCGTCGATTATTAGAAATAAACTAGGTCATGACGCAGCTTTCCAAAAGTTCTCGGTGGCTGTGTTCGCAAAATATCGCAGAATTTGAAACTGTCTGGATTTGAAATACCCCACGACAAACTCATGATTTTTCTTTAGTCCCACACTCTTCAAAAATGTTTACATTGTTTCTTTAGCAAATTTTTAGTTAGCTTAGATCACGGCCTTTGCTTGAGTCCTCTTACATGTATGTAGGAAATGCCCAGTCACTCTCTCGATGGTTCCTTAATATTGTTTTTCACTTCCAGGTTCCACTCAACGACATGTTCGGTTACTCCACCGATTTACGGTCGCAAACACAGGTACAGAGTTTGTTTAGAGTCTAATGTTTGCTGGTTGGTCTTACTCTATTTTATTGCTCTGCGGAAAAGAAAGAAAAAACGATATATTTATTTATGTTGTCGCCCAGATGCAAACGCAGATTAGGATAAGGGAGGTATCGGGATGTGAAGTAATGTTATATATAAGGTATTTGTAAGTGGGATAGAGAGCATGTGCGTTGAGGATCAATATCAGTATCTTGGCAACT